AGTCAACAAAACCATTTGACCATTGGGCCCCCAAGTCTTCAAATTTTTATCTCTTCTTCAATAAAGTAACGTACTTAAAAGCCTTTTGCTGTATTAAAATTCTAAAAAAGCTTGTTGAAAACATCAAAAGTCACTGATAAACAAATTTCTTCAGTTTTAAGCACAAAAGTCCAAAGGATTCAGTAAAGCAACGTTGAGAATCCTAATTATCTATGTACCTGCTTTGGTAAGAAATACTTCACTGTGACATATTTACTTTATATTCTCGTTCAAAATGACACTATTGTATAAATAGGTACTTAACCAATAATTGAAACCATTATTCACAGTTGAATACGCATGGTATATAATTAGATTCTTTTAAAAGGGACTCCATGGTTAAAACTAATTTGCTTTTAGTGTCTTTTAATATTACGTATTTTTTTAAACACTTCCAATTAATGGTAACTGAATCAAAAAACAACATAAAATTAAGAATTTTAAGAGTAAAAGAAAAAAATTCTACTTTTACAGCTAATAGATATTCTCTCATTAGGTAAACTATGTACATGATTCTTCTAAATTTACCATATAGCAATGGAAAATGCCCTACTTCTAAACATCACACTCCTAGCCCACAGCTACAGATCTCTAGTAGCAGTCCAAATATTATGCCAATTGAATCTAATCTGTCTAAACTCAAGAAAGAGAAACCCAGCTCTAGTTAGGTATATTTCCAAAATAAATCACAATATAAATTTGAACTCAAAAATAATCAGTATAGCCATTGAAAGTCACAATTATATAGCCATTGCTTCATTTCATTGATAAACTATAAGATTTGGGCAATAGCTGTAAATGGCAAGTCTTTAAGAACCTGGTTTATATCATAAATATAATCTCAGTGAGGAATCTAGGATTTGCTCTCAGTTGTATGGAGCAGAGAGTGGATGGATACTTCGTACCATTTTCTTATTACTGCAGTTTCAAATCTTTCTCATTTTGTATAAATGGAGCTTATGAATATATTTATATATATACCAGGGGTCCTGAATCTCAGCACTAACGATGTTTTTGGATAGATAATTCTTTGTTGTGGGGAACTATCCTGTGTCTTGTAGAATGTTCAGCAGCATCAATGCTCTTACCCACTAGATGTCAATAGCACCCCTTGCCCAGTTTGACAACCCAAAACGTCTCTGGACATTGCCAAATGTCTCTTCAAGACATTGCAAAATCGCCTGTGGTGGAGAACGACTGGTATAGGCACATACACAAATATTTCTTATTTCAATAATTTTCATAAATATGCTATCTTGGCATTAGTCGAACTTTTTATGTCAGGTGAATTTCAGATCTCATCTTTAAGGATATGGTGGTTGAAGGTAATAAATGCACTTAAACAGGCACCTAGTCATGGTTTTAAAACTGAACTCCCCCTTGTGAGAACAAGTTTTTTCAAAATCTTTGGATTGCTCCATTTTGACTAGTAATCTCAAAGTAGCATTTCTAAGTACATTTTGATTTGGAGTTTTGTTCTTTCGTCATTTTTCCAACCAATATTTATGAAGCATACCTTACATGCCTCATGCTGTAGACAACACTAAGACGCTGTCAGTAGACAGTGGTGAGCAAGCAGACAAGACTTCAGCCCTTTTAGATTAAACACTCTAGATAAAAAATGTTGGCAAATGTTAGCTATTTCTTAATTTAACCAAACAATTAGTGGTGCTGGTATATAAAATTAATTCACAAAAACTGTTTTGTGTACTTACTGCATGTAATTCCTATTTATAGGAATTATAAAAGGTGTGTAAACATAACCCCTGCCCTCTTGGAAGGTATAACACTGAAGGAAGCAATTAGAGATTGATAAAGGAAAGGAAGGAATTAGTGTTAAAATGGAGTCCTAAGGGCAGTGTGCCTCCCAGCTTGCCATGGTTACCCGTGATTCTGCCACACCTCCAGCATTTGGCAGAGATCATTCCAAAGTTGAAGTCCTGTCTACCAGCTTTGCCACAGCTTTCTGGATTTCAAACATATTTTTTTAAAGTCAGACTGTCCACACCAAGTTGGGTGGTGGTTGGAAATTTATCAAGGTAGTTGAGGGTTAATGAGTTTTTCTAAGGATGGGGGCCTTTCCTGCTCCTTTTTTTTTCTCTCCTCACAGCTACCCTCCTTAAACCTTGCCCAGCAGCTGCCACCAAAACAACAACAACTACAAAAACCCCATGGCAACATCAATAAATGAGAAAAATTAAACATCTCTACCTGTACTACGAGGAATATTGCACACTGACATTGCAGGACACTGCATTTGGAGAGCTATTCTCAAGTTAAATGAAATACCTGTATGCCATTTATATTACAAAATCATTGTTTCTATTGGAAAATCATTTACACTAACTACTTGTAAGCTCATATCGTTCTCTGCACTCTACTGTACATGTGTGAAAAATACTCTGGTGTACACAAACTCAACTAGATATTTATTCTAGAAATATTAAAGACTGTCAGAGAGGTGGGAAAACAGACAAGTGAGAAAGAAGACAAATGGCCTTAAACCACATTTTTTTAAGTCATGTTGAATGATTACTGTTAAAAAGTCCTATAGTTTTGGGGCTGGCCCCGTGGCCGAGTGGTTAAGTTCGCGCGCTCCGCTGCAGGTGGTCCAGTGTTTCGTTGGTTTGAATCCTGGGCGCGGACATGGCACTGCTCATCAAACCACGCGGAGGCAGCGTCCCACATATCACAACTAGAAGAACCCACAACGAAGAATATACAACTATGTACCGGGGGCTTTGGGGAGAAAAAGGAAAAAAATAAAATCTTAAAAAAAAACAAATTCTCTATAAAAAAAAGAAAAAAAAAAAGTCCTATAGTTTTGCATAAGTCGCTATAGGAAAAGAGAATAAGATAGGCCACAAATATTTTGATCTGAAGCATTTAGATATGACAGAAGAGGAAAAGGGGATGTTTCTTTTTTTCACATACATTATCCAAATTTTTTTTTTACCCTTTACTTTTATATTCCTATGATTTCAGATTTAAGGCTTACTAAGAGTCCAAATAGGAAGGATTCTCAAATGTGCCACAATACAAACCAAACTGATCAAATGGAAACAAGTCAGGGCATCAGGCTTAGGCTTGAATTATTCAATCACCCCATTTCAGCTCATCAAAAATGCAGGCTTGGCCTCTTTGCATTTTTAAACACGATGTAATGTGATTATTAAATAAAGGCTCATGCCCTATCACAAAACTGGTTTAAAACAAATAGTTGAGAAACAATATAAATAAAATAAAACCAATTACTTATATCTAAGAACTGAATATTGGCTTATACAATCGCAGTTTATAGACAGAACACACTTCTCAAACTTTAGCATGCTTCAGAATCATCTGGAGAGCTTGTTAAAACACAGATTCCAAGGCACGAAGCCCAGAGATTCTAATTCTAATTTTAATTCTTGATCTGCTGCCACTGCTGGTCCACAGATCATACTTGGAGTGGCACTGGCCTAGAATACTGGCAATCACAGGAATATTCAAACAGGTAATTCTTATTGTAGTCTATGTCCTGGCATTAATATAGGTTTTAAGCCAACTATGTGTGCCCTTGATGGGAAAGAGAATGTACGTTTTCCCCAGTTTGCCAGCGATCCTATATTTCAGTTGGGAAACTAAAATATTGATGAACTCCCAAGACTTAAAATTTCTTTCAAATACTGGCGGAAGGTTAACAACACAGATGCTTTTCTGGCCTTAGGTCAGATTTTACTCCACATCAATGATCTTTGGAAACTTTATCCAAATCACTATTGTAATTATTTCAGAACTAGGATGACCAGCTCCACCCTATGTCTCTTGAGTGTGAGCAGCATTGTTTTGCAGAGGCAGTGGCTACAATACACCAGACATTCCCATTAGCTGTTTGGTCATTGTGCTTTTCAGCAGAATTAGAGCATGTTACAATATTTTTCTTTGCAGCTTAAACATTGAGCAAACCCAGACATCCGGAGATGCTAAAATGAAAAATCTGTTTCCTCTTGCTTTACCATTTGCCAAGTGAACTCCGTCAGACAGCACATTCTATACATTTTGAGTAAATGAAATTACCCTTAATGTGTTGGCAACATCTGTCACAAAACACTCTTCTGTCTATGGCTTAAATGCATTGGGTAGGAATGGATTTGACAGTATATTTAATGAGGCACAATTATGGTTGAGGGCATTAGTTTTGCCTTAATGGCCATAGGTTTTTCTTTTCCTCTTTTGTTCTTTTTTCTCCTCCTTTTTTATGTCCTAAACAATACAGAAAATTCTGTAATCTTTGATGAGGAAAGTGGCTGGCAAACACCATTCTTTGTTGTAGATAACCTACACTTCAAACTCTCTAAGTTGTCTGTCCCCATAAAGTATCATCCGGAAAATTTGTTTCTCCAAGGGATTCCCGTTGACTGCTTCTAACTTACTCACAAATTGTAAGTTTCTTGCATCCCTTGTTAAAGAATGTATTTTCTTCATAATTCGTGGGAATCTTTTTTTCATTGAAAATTTTTACTGAATATGAACAAGAATGTATATTCTTACATGTCCGCCCTCAAGAATTTGGTCTGGTCAGGGAAGGAATGTTTCCCTTACATTGTTTTCCACTCTGTGCCTAGTGCTGCTATTTACAATTCCAAATTATGACAAATCCCTTCCCACTCTTCTCTTTGATTGTCAGGATTCTGGTTTATACACAGAAGCAACACTCACTCTGTGGCATCTGTAATCGAATGAGTCCCCAAACACTTTCTGCGAAAGGATTCTCTAAAGAGACCAGACAATCCTTCCTAAATTAATTCCAAATGCAGGCATTCAATCCTTCTACTCTTATCTTGCATGGATTTTGATTCATTTGTCACATGCTCACATATCTCATTTGCATATTGCCTCCCAAACAAGGACTAAAGTCTACCTCTCCCACCCCTGGGGAATAAGGTCACCCCTAGGGCATTAAGAAGAAAGTGCCTTACCGAACGCAATGTGATCTTTATCTCTGATTTATGACCAATGATCCCTTATGTGGCCAGAACAGGCTGATTAGAATTGAGTCGTTTCCGGGATTGTGACAGTTTAGCTGTAGGTCGGAATCTCTAGGGGCAAACATTCTAAGATAGCCTAAGTCTCAAGTTCAAGAAAAGTATTGAAGTCTTGCACCTGCTAAGGATTAGAATGTTGTGAAAGCGCCATTTTTTGGTTGAAAAAAATGTTTCAGGACTTCCGTCTTAACACTGAGGTCATTCTATAGTGTACCCCTAAGGGACATTAAGAAGAACCCCAGTGAAATGCAAATCAAAACTACACTAAGATATCACCTTACACCCGTTAGATTGGCAAAAACATCCAAAACCAAGAACGACAAATGTTGGAGAGGTTGTGGAGAAAGAGGAACCCTCATACACTGTTGGTGGGAATGCAAACTGGTACAGCCACTATGGAAAACAGTATGGAGATTTCTCAAAAAGTTAAAAATAGAAATACCCTATGACCCAGCCATCCCATTACTGGGTATCTATCCTAAGAACCTGATAACAGATATCTCAAGAGTCCGTTGCACCCCTATGTTCATCGCAGCATTATTTACAATAGCCAAGACGTGGAACCAGCCTACATGCCCAGAAACTGATGACTGGATAAAGAAGATGTGGTATATATACACAATGGAATACTACTCAGCCATAAAAAAAGACGAAATTGGCCCATTCACAACAACGTGGATGGACCTCGAGGGCATTATGTTAAGCGAAATAAGTCAGTCAGAGAAAGACGATCTCTATATGACTCCACTCATAGGTGGAAATTAGTATATTGAGAAGGAGATCTGATCGGTGGTTACCAGGGAAAAGGGGGGTGGGGGAGGGTACGAAGGGGGAAGTGGTGTACCCACAACATGCCTAACAAAAATGTACAACTGAAATCTCACAAGCTTGTAATCTATCATAACATTAATAAAAAAAATAATAATAAAATAAAAAAAAAAAAAAAAAAAAGAAGAACCCCAGTTCTTCTTAAAGTATTTACTGCTGCTCTGGCACAACAAATACCTGAATGAAAGCCAGTAAGTTTTTTTTTTAAAGGAAAAAATAAAGATGCTTTTGTTAAAGTGATTCAGGCAGCAGGAAGAAAAAGTGATGTGTCTCTGCATTATAATTAAGTAAAAGGTTATTGTGTCTCTCATTCAAGAAGCATCCTGATGAATGACATTTCACAGAAGCATCAAGAAATTCAAACAATACAAATGTGCAACTATGCATATTTAGAAGCTACAGACCTATAAAATAACATATATTTTCTTGTTGATTCTAGCTCAAAAGTCCAAAGGTTTTTAAGAGCAAAACTGACTCTGTGTGTCAAGCATTTCCAGATATTCGGCTCAATTTCTGTTCTCCCTCCATGTTAATGGGGAGGAGCCCCTAAGAAATACTGAGTGATAGCCTGATCTTGTAACAGATACTATCAGGAAGTTGGGTTTGGATAATACCAAGAGGAACTGATCATCCTGATTGAAAGTGTTTTAGGAAACATTCGCTTGTGGGTAATTAATTTGGGTGCTGAGATCCTGCCATCTACATGAATCTGTCTTAGTTTTATGTCTTCAAAATGTTTAATTATATGGAAAAAAAGAGTCAAATAGTGAGAAAAATAATGTTTACATAAAAATAGCATTCAGATACATAATCATTTTATTATTACTGGGTATTTAAATGACTTGTTATATCATGAGCTTCTGCCTTTATTATCATCTTTAAAGTAAAGCATTGGAATTATAAAATCTCAAAGATTTCATCCAACCCTAGCATTTCAATTAAAATATATATATGTATTGTTCCATTCTCTAAGTTAGTCAACTAAGGCAGAATAGTAGGATAGAGGAAAAGGAAGGAAAGGGTAATGTGACCTGGCTTTGTGCTTCACTAGGCATAGAACACTATGTATATGGATAGAAGTTTTTTAAAATGTCTACTGTTTCTTGCATTCCCCACAGTTATAATAAATCAAAAAGAATATTCTAGAAGTAGGCATTTCCTAACATCTGATGAAACACTTGACATTTTCGTGTTTTTAAAAAATTTTAGCAGTGTTGCATTTGACCAGCATTTAACAGAGTTCAGTATTCTTCTGTCAAAAGCACAGATAGAAAGAAAGTAAGTCGAAAGATTAGGAGGAAAAACATAGGAAATAGTAACTTGGCTTTTTATAACATTTGTATTAGATTTTAATATGTCCTTCAAAAAGATCCAGTCAAGAAACCCATCTGGGACCAGCATTATCCTCTTGGTGGTCGATTGTATTGAGATGATCAAGTATAATCCATATAAATCATGGATAAATGGCATAAATCAAGTCTTATTCAATATCAAGAAAAACTAGAGAATTTCCATAGTATTCATATCTTTCAGTCAGAGAAGTTTGTGTTTAGAGCAATGAGAGAGAATGTATATGATATCTTGGGATGCATTCTATATTGAATATTGGAATTGTAAATGACAGGTGTTTTAGACACATCACAGATAAATCACATCAGAGGAAAAGTCGCTAATGCTACATATATTTAGATGAGCACAAAATGACATGAATGGATGTAAAAATCATACATGGTTGAATTTGATTTTTTCAGTGAAAAGTAAATACATTTGATGTTAATGCAGTTACTGTGTTTATTTTTTCAAAAAGTTTCCTTTCCTGTGGAACGTGTTTTCAGATGGACATTGTGTGTGCTTGTAGGGTGCTGTGATTACGCCGACAATGGACCATCCTATGTCAATGCAGCCAGCCAACATGATGGGCCCCCTGACACAACAAATGAATCATCTTTCATTGGGCACAACAGGAACGGTGAGTTGAAGAGTTTGTTTTGGTTTGTTGCCTTAGACTTCTTCAAAAAGATGCAATACTCTCTGTTTTCACTGGCATTATCAGCAAAACTGGTTCTGTACCATTGACTAAAACACCTTTCAAGTTCCAGTATGAATAAGCCGCATTCTGCATGTGTATTCAGTTGCGGGGCACACTTACTCACGTTGACAAGGCTGGAGGTTCTACTGTGTTGCATTTAAATCTGAGTTTCTTCTTGTTTTAGGACATGATGCACCAGGTATAATGTCTGTTTTTGGAAAGATGTCTTTACGCATGCACCTGTGAATCTACACCTTGTAACTTAATACACTTGAGCCTGGTTTTCTTTTCCCAGATGCTTACCACTCAGCTACTATGTCATTCCCAGGTTATTCTTCACAAGTGAGGGGCCAACCCTGACTATGACTAATATTCGGGGCTTTTTATTAACTTTCATTGTTTAAATCAATAAAAAGGAATTGAGAACTAGACTTAATCCAGTTCTTTTAATCTTCCTTTTGAATGTATTGACACAGATGATGTTGGAAAAAAGGAAAGGGATCTAATATACTTGATTTTTTATATAGGTTGGGATATTTTTGACTACCCATTATTTTTCCGTGGGGACCAAAAGTATATTGAAAAATACCTATTACAGCCTTGATTTTATATCACAAGGCATTTGAAATCATTAGCAAAACTGTGTTTATTTTTTTTAAAATCTTGTTCTAAGACAATTCCCTAAATGGTCAAGAGGGCAAATATCTACCTGGAATACTGCAACTTTGTCAATTCCCATGATAGAGAACGATGCAAAACATCAAAGCCAACCTCTCATGTGACGCCACTGGTAACAGTTTTTATTTTTCATCAAGGTTGATGCAGATAATTTTGTCATTTTTAAAGCTATAGAAAGAAAAATATATTTTCTTCTGACTGAGGCAGCTTATGCATTATGAAAAGAGCACTGGACCAGGAGTCGGGAATCCTAGATTAGAATCTTGATTGAGCCCTGTTGTTTCTATCTGTCCTTGGGAGAGATCTTCCAATCTCAGTTTCTCTCTCCGTCTAGTTGAAGCATTGAACATGATGATATATGGGACCCCTTCGACTGTACGCCTCTAGGTCTTTAAGCCTGTGTGTCTCATAGTCACCACTTCTGTTATTCTTCACAATTATGCTCGCATCATCTCCAAACACCTACATATACTATGAACACTAGCTGCAGATCGGAAATTTTACTTTAAAACAGTGGCTTCCTTGCCACATAGATGTGTTGACTCACAGGCTTTTTGAAATGTAAGAAGTTTCTGACATGTTCACTGCTACCTCAATTATCTGCTCTAAATAGAAAGTTCATATACCTAGTGGAAAGAGTCACATAGTTTTGATAAAGAAACTTAGTTTTGTTAACATAAACAAAGTACCTATCTCTAAGACCTCAGTTGCTGAACCTATAAAAACCAGTTTGTGATACTTTACATGTCTGAAGGCTTGGGCTGGATCAAATGATTTCTTAGGCCTCTGACTAAGACTTGTCAAGGTCGCATCTAAGACTATATTTAACTATACATCATGGTACAGCTAATTGTCATCAGGGAGATAGAATGTGAAGATAGTGTTCTGTAGCTTTTAGCAATGTGTAAGGATTATTTGTAGTCAGTTTGCTCATTTACTAACAAGCAGATCCCAAGAACAATATCGGGAAGCCTGAAGTTTTTCATGTTCCCACTATTGATTTTTCCTTCATATTGGCCTTCCTCTCCTTAAATGATCATAAATTCTGAATAAGTGACATAATCAATCTTATTTCATTGAATGACAGTCTGAAATCTGATAAAAGAGGGAGTGATGATGCAAAGCATGGAAGGAAACACTTTATAAATCCTACTCATTTGAATCAAAACAGAAAGCCAGCTGACTTGCTGAAGTTTCAATTTGCAAATTAGAAAAAAATACTAGAGCTAAATTAATTGAAATATGACTGAATCCTTTAGGGAATTGAAAAACAGGCTAACATGTATACAACAGATTCAGAATTACAATAGTTATTGATTTAATAACATATAGTATGGTTAGTATTTGAGCATTTTTAACAAGAAGACATTTATACAAGGCCACAATTTTTACCCAGCTAACAATAGCCAAATTATTCAATAATGATATATACACCTGCCCTTTCTTAGAAAGCAGGAATTTTAAGCATGTGGCTTATTTTTAACACCAATTTCCTCTAGCTTTTTTTTTCCCCCTTCACATTTGTACTAAATAATGCTTTCGTGCGTTATAAGCTTCGTGTAAATTGATGTTTTGCAAAGGTTTGAAATTTCATAAGGTTCTGGAAAGGCAGAGAAAAAACAATATTACTTTGTTGATTTGTTCAACAAAATATCACTGAGTGAGTTTAGTGTCCGTAATATGGTTATACCCTTTCTTAAACTGTCACTCTTACACTTTGATATGCCATCATAGATTCACTTTATCTGCATTTTTGGTTGG